CTGCGGGGAGGGGTGGGGCAGCTGGGCGAAGCTGGGTGAGTCAGCCGAGGGAGTGTGGGAGGGAGCGCAGTATGTACGATAAGGGAGTGTTCGCAACACTGCATAATGACCACCGTTTCACTGGGTGGATCATTTATGCATTATGGTGTGCGACTTGTACACATTTGTACATTACCACTGAGTGTATGGGTACCTTTGACATATGTTTTGTGAAGTGGGTTGCATTGTGGTGATGAATGGGCGTCTCTTAAGTGCGGTATGGCTGGTTGATGATGGATGATGGTCCTTGTCACACAAAAAGGAAAGTTCTGTAGGTGGAAGAAAATTCCAACGGTTCAGTTGCGGGGGTCGTTGCCACCGTTGGCAAGGCTCTTCGCCGTAGGAAGGGTGAACAACTATGTAAGCCTCGGGCGGTTCGTGTGTAGTGTGGCCTTGTGTCTGGCCGTGTGCCAACCTGTTGAAGCATCGGCGATCGTGGATTCGCGCTTTTTGTGTGCACTCCAAGGGGATCCATTTGATTCGCATCAACGGCTTTTCCTTCAAGATGGTTTTGGAGCCGAGGCAGGTTCTGGGGCAAGGCGACGGTGGACAAAGTGCAGACAAGTCCCCAAGAGCTGTTTGGGGCAATTTGCACGTTGATCGACTTGGAATTCGGTCAGGAATCGGCCAGAGTGTTGGACGGGTAGAGTTGTAGATTTTGCAATTGAGTGAGATCAACGATTGGCGAAGCGCGATTGAGGGCTGGGAGGTGGCGGCGAATAGCGCAGCAGCGTCCTTAGGACAGCTCGAGGCTGTTTGGACGGTGATTGACCCGTTGCTCGGCGGCCATCGCCCAATTCTGCGAATGGGCGCAAGTGACAATCCCAGATTTTGACCACATCGGCGGCTTGCACACGACGTCCGAGTGGTGCACAATGGTGGCCAACGGGCGACGAGACTCCTGTGAGCAGCTGGGAGCCCTTTGCAAGCGTTTTGTGGCAACAGCAAGTGTGGATCGGCGGGTCGGCGTTGGCTCAACATTTTGCGGAGAGGTGGTGTTTTGGTGAGGCATGGACTTTGGCGAAGGATTGCGCAACGGGTGGCCAGCCAAGGAAGTTTGCAGCATGGCTTAGAGCTCTGCACAAATCTCCCAAGACGTGGCTATGGCGGGCGCTTCGAGCGAGGGCAGTGCCGGGAGCTTGAGGGGGGCCAAAGCGGCGGGTGGTCACAGGGGCGGAGCCATGCCATGGCTCGGAGTTCTTGCCCATTGATTGGGCCTATCATTTACCGGAGGTCGGGCCGCCTGAGGTGGAGGTACAACTACTGGAGCTGCGCTTGTGTACAGGGATGCAGAGGTGACGGATTGGGTGGCTCCCAAGGCTGGTGAAAGCGCACAGGTGGACCCAAGGAATTTTGATTGGCAGTCATTTATCTAGTGGCTTTCTAGATTTCAATCCATGTGCTGATGCCTCTTTCCAGCCATGGAGACAATCTATTTCAGTAAGCATGAGGAATATGTTGGGATGTTTATTTCCCCAGCATGAGGTTGTGTTGGTGTGTTGCCCAGCCAACCTATCCTTTGGTGTTATATTCCTCCAGAAATGGGGTGCCAACTCGTTGGAGAGAAAACCTACCAAGTCCATTGCGTGCGGTGGTGGATATGGGCCCACTGTCGATTCGGCGTTAATGGGGGAGGGTTGTGGTGTACCACGGGATTGTAGGTGGTGCACTGACTATTGCAAATGGTTGAAGTTGACATTTTCAATACCATTTCTTAGGGTCCTCTTGTTAGAGGAAAATATGGGCCCACCAAAATTCGGAACGTCTCGCAGATGGAAACGTGGGAGAGCCCATGTTCACAACACTGCATAATGACCACCGTTTCACTGGGTGGATCATTTATGCATTATGGTGTGCGACTTGTACACATTTGTACATTACCACTGAGTGTATGGGTACCTTTGACATATGTTTTGTGAAGTGGGTTGCATTGTGGTGATGAATGGGCATCTCTTAAGTGCGGTATGGCTGGTTGATGATGGATGATGGTCCTTGTCACACAAAAAGGAAAGTTCTGTAGGTGGAAGAAAATTCCAACGGTTCAGTTGCGGGGGTCGTTGCCACTGTCGGCAAGGCTCTTCGCCGCAGGAAGGGTGAACAAATATGTAAGCCTCGGGCGGTTCGTGTGTAGTGTGGCCTTGCGTCTGGCCGTGTGCCAACCTGTTGAAGCATTGCCGATCGTGGATTCGCGCTTCTTGTGTGCACTTCAAGGGGAGCCATTTGATTCGCATCAACGACCTTTCCTTCAAGAGGAGCCAATTAAGGGGAATTGGCTGTAGTGAACGGATGGGGACGGCTTTGGGATTGGTTCATAGTTGGGGATGGCAGTGGCAAAAGGAGCTGAGGGAGTGTGGGAGTGAGGGAGAGTGGGAGTGGGCAGCGTACGTGGGTAGCTGGGGGGCTAGTTGGCAATGGTGCATAGTTGGTATGGGCGGCGGGAATAGGAAGTTGGCATGGCGTCCGAACACGAACCCGGCCAACTCGTGGAAGTGGCCTGAGTGGGGATTCTGAATACAGCAATTCGTGAACTGTCACATCAATAAGCTATAAATAACACTCACTCCATTTGTAAGAATGGGCTTGGGTCGTGAGTGATAGACTTGTTTTTCCCGTGCATGACCATTGTGAACGCCTCCCGTACCCACGGGGTCGCCGCAACCCAAAGGCTCATTGCGCACTTGAGCCGCCCAAAGGCCGACAGGAGTCACAACGCCCCGCCATGTGACAATCCCAGCCAGAATGGGTTTGGAACGAGCAAAAACGGGGTTGGAATGGGCCGGAACGGGTTGGGAACAGAACGGAAATGGAACGGGAATTGAAAAAGAAGAAATACCATTTCCATTTCCATTGTGCCAAAAGTTGTGGGAGCCCATCTATGGGCAAGGCGGCTTGCTTGGAATTGTGGTCGCCATGTCATATAGGGAGCACCAAAGGGAGAGGTTCCACAGACGCATTCTGCTGGGCATGATGATGATCCTAAGGAGCAACTTGCCACATGAGAGCGGCCACGACCTGCAGCACAACCGCTCAATAGAACACGGCAGGGTGGGAAGGGGGGGTTGGAAGCTGAGGGCAAGGGGGGTACCAGAAACCACTGGCTAATCTGCCAACCTTGAGAACCGAGGCGATCCTTGCCTACCAAAGGCTAGCACGCTACTCTCAGAGGCTGCCCAGACGTTCGGCATGCGAGGATCAACTCAATCCCCGAAGTGGGCAGATGGGTCAGATGCAAATTTTGCAAATCGTCAAATTTGATCGCACACTCAGCCACTCCGCACAATTGGTGCACAAGTTTCTGCACTGATTAGTGCACCGATTCGTGCAGTTATTGGTGTGCTTGACTTGATCTTAAAACATTGTATTGTGGTGATTGTGCTTCATCATGGGTGAAGATATTGAACTCATTTTCAACTCATTCCCACTAAGCTCCCTTTCAAGGCCTCAAGGCCATTTCTACTTTGGCACTGGCACAATATACACATGTGGTTCCTCACGGGCCTCATAGGGACTTGTGGGTAGTCTAACTGACTGCACAATGTCGCGCAGCCTAGTTAGGCAGAGGAGCCCATGTGCACAGAGTGCTTTTATGTCCAGCCTTATGGTGTACAATACAATGGCAATATGGAATGAATGTATGATATAGGGAATATTGTGAACATGGGGCAAAACATGCAACTCAGGCTGTCATGCTTTGAACAATTTACTACAAGTCGACACATTGTGCTTAGCTTAGTGGCACCCATGGCATGTGGCAGAGTGATATAAAATCTCGTCATATGCATGACACAATGCACACATCACAACATGATTCTTTTTGTAACAAATCACAACACCCAAGGAATATATATACTCTATAGGTTTTGAATATGTTATTATTATTAAGGCAACTCCCAGGGTATATTTGTGTGCCCAAGTGTGTAACACTTCTGATGAGTTTGTATGCAACCCTACTTGACAATTGCTTCTTTAACCCAACAAACTGCAAATGTGCATCACCAGTCACTGGGCCGGGTTACCCCATAGAAGCACCATGCATGCAATGCGCAAGGCTCCGACCTTGTATTAAAGAAAACTTGCATCACAACCTTAGAACTATAGCACGCACAGATCCCAAGCTTGAGAGTGTTGGGCGTTTGCCTTTCTCCGCTTGTGGCAAGTCCTCACATCCGAGATCCTGGAGGGCGGCGATTTCCGCCATCGTCGATGCTGTGACAACGGATTTACTCGATGGGGATCCAAACACAGTTGATCGTGTTTGGCAAGCGATAAACCATGAGAGGGACGCTGCCCTTTGCCGCAACGGCAACAACAATTTTGGTTTGGCACGCCTGGGGCGGGAGCGATCCAGACCCACATGGATCTATGACGGACGCCGAATCAGAATGCACAATTTTGGGTCAAATCTTAGGCAATTTCAGGTCGCCATCAGAGGTAGTGGGGATCAGTGTTTTTTGACAAGAAATTGATAGTCAGGGATTTTGGGACCAAATCTTTTCGATTCTGACCTTTAGGAGTACTTTCAAAGCCGTTAAGGTAATGAAATTCATCTTCTAAATAGAGAATAATTAAACTTGGACGGAAGAGGTAGAATAAATGCTAAGTGAAAAATGCAGACATGGAAAAACAATGCAGTTTAAAGAAGATCATATCCATCACATTACATGAAGCAAACATGCTGTGCACAACTAAATAGTAGCCTCCCCTCATTTCCTACTTGAATTTCTCCCTATCGTAGTGCGCAGTTGTAGATCCGTAAATCCAAATCAATTGCGCACTGAAGAGAGCAGAAATGACAGAATCAGCAAAAACCTACGGCGCGTGCTGTAAAAATACAAATCCCCGAAGTTGCAGTCACGAGGCTCAAATTTCCAGTTTAAATCATCGACGGCATCAATCCAATGTGAATATCATTTTCCACCGGACTCTCCACATTTTGCCGCGGCTCCATCCAGCTCATGGGGCTACACTGTGTACCTTTCGCTCATCTTCTGGATTTCTTCTTCTGGATTCTGTACCAAATCCTTGCAGTTGTCGCACAGCATGGACCAAAGCCACTTGTCAAACCAGTCCCCGTCACGAGAGCTCTGCCCAAGCTGCAGCTTTGCAATGTCACGCCCGGCACACGTTCTCCACGATACTAGTATCCACCTCTGGATCTTCCTCCAGTGGAGTGCCAGCGCAATGGCAAGAATGAGTGCCGCCAGAACCAAAACAAGCTTCAAGATTAAGGAGTTCTGCTCTGTAGTTACTGTTATTGCTGTGTTCACCAAAATGGTGCTGTTGGACGCCGGCTGCCTGATACGCATGACGTTCACGTCATATGTCGTATGGCTCCATGAGTTGACTTTAAATTCATTCACTAGCAGCACAATAAGAGGGACGAACGGGAACCAGAAACCTATGAAGTCCGGCAGCACGATGACCAACGCTGCAAGAATGGCCCTTCCCACTTTGCCGAGGCACGTTGTGCATGCGCCCTGGCCCATGCAATCTGCAACACAGCCGCACCGCCCGCTGCAGTGGTTAGCAGTGTTTCCCAAACTTCCTGCAACCCGAACCATCCGCTCCGCGAGCCACCTATTCGCTCTCCGCACTCTGCGTATGAAAAGCTCCGTAACCGAAGTGATAGGATCTGTCACCAAGGTGAGCGTAGCCGCCAGGATCACCAGGGCGATTTCAATGCGGCTGGCCGGGACAGGCGCCTCGCGATCTGCAATGGCAACCTCTGTCTCAAGCGTCGGCAACGCCACCTCCGCAATGTCGATCGTCCTGCCAAGTCTGTTGGCCCCGCTCACTCCAACCAATATCTCTTGGGACAAGCCCTCCTCCAAGCACGACAGGCTTTCGCCATTCTCATTCACCTCCGCCACCAACTTGTACAGCGTCTCGTTCCTGTCAAACGCCACAAAGTCTGGGCCAATGGCGAAGCAACTCTGGGCGTCTTGTGCGTCAACAAGGCTCTGACTCCCCGAGAATGAGATGTTGCTCTGCGCATAGGGCGACAACAGCTGCGTCAGCTCCTCAGTGTTGGCTGCTGTCAATTCGGGATAGACGATGGTACCATTCACGGTGGCGATGATTATGCCGTCTGTTCGATTTCGACGATACACCCATATCCCACTGTTGCCGTCCAGCTTCGTCGGGTCCAAAACCGTCCTTCTCGCGAAACCTTGAAAATTTTTCAGCCCAGCTGCCAGGGCAGCCGGGTCTTCCTCAGCCGCGAGCCTTCGCCACTGGTACTCCTGCGTCAGGAAATCGAGCACCTGCCCGCTTTCCCGGCTTCTCAGCGCTCTTACCAGCCCGTGCACTTCCTTGTTGACCTCTTTGTCCAGCGTCTCCTCTGGAATGTCGTTAAGAAAAGCCTGCTGTCTGGAGTCGTTCAGGAAGACCCTGTCGAGGGGGAGATTCGGAAGGTGTTCTTCTGCCTCGACCCTCATGGGGTCCACAAAGGAAAGGAAGTCTCCGCAGTTAAGAGCAATAGAAGGGTCCGACGCGTTAACCAACATGAGGCACTGATCGGAGCCTCCGCGCTTGAGCAGCGCTCGACTCGTGACGCAGTTGGGATCAAGGCATCGGCAGTAGTACCTGGCGGCTTTAATGGTCAAAGTCTTGTCGTCACCGAACTTGGCCTTCCCCTCGAATCCATCTGACTGGAGCAGATTCGGCGTCTCGACCGTGAGATTGTGGTGCAGCTCGGCGTTCTCAACCGGAAAGTCGTTCCCCAAGGTCTGGGTCAGGTAAGTTGATGGATCTTTGCTCAGTCCGTAAAAGGACAAAATGAGGCATGTCATGTACTTCTGCCTCAATGCCTCTGCCATACGGTAGCCGCCAAGAATTCCGATCCTCCCCAGCGTCTGGCAATGCGCCTCTGGAGGCAAGCTTGAGACCACTACCAAAAACGCTGCGGCTTTCAACAGAAACGACGTTACCAACTTTCTTTTTGAATTCCTCAATGGAGCTGCTCTTGGATGTCCACCTTGCGCAGGCTCTTCACCGTGCATCAGAGGCTTCAGGTCCGAACATCGAGCAGCAGACTTGCGCGATATGCCCCTCACGAAAGTTTTGTCTCCTCGCTTCGGTGTGCACATCCTGCCGACAGCGGAGCCTACATAGTACACAGCTTCAGCTTCCATGCCACTTCGAACTGGGTTCTCATTACACTAGGAAAAAAGGGCAAAATGACACGTGTTCAAACGTGTACAAAGTTTACGGGTTTGTGTTACTTTTGTGTTCTTAGCATGCAGAACTTTGATGAAATATGTTCTATGCGTGTTCGCAAAAGCGTTAATTTGCCCTTTTTTTCCTTGTGTTATGGCCAAACAGAGCGATACTCACAGGTTCATTCATTCGCGTGTCATCACACGTCCTATCTACGGAGGGACTGGGCACCAGGAATAAAGTAACGTGGCAGCTTCGACCCCAAATCGAGGAAACATCCTGTTCGTGTGCAGTACACCATGCAAGCTTGCAAGCACACTATCAAGGCGTGGTTCTGTTGAAGTACACATTCACACTGCATGCAGCTTCTTTCCGACAGCGTCTGACAGCCGCTGGCAACCGCCTAAGCAGCGCCCTCGCATGGTGCTGTGTCGCTGCAGCTCAACATGACGATCCCAGAGAAGATACCTGTGAACACCGGAGATGGAGTATCTGCTGGGAACCCAGGACTGCCTGTGCATTTTGTTAACGCAGGAATTGGCAGTACTCATTTGCTGTACAAGCAGTTTCGTCGTGCCGGCGCCTGACAGCTGGCTGTCAGGCTGCAGCCGCCCGTCGCTGGCCACGTGTGCGCACGCCATGCAACCAGTTGGAGCCCAGCACGGCGCGATGGCTGCGTGACAACGTGACGGCTACTGCGTGGTGAATATTCCAAGAGAGGCTATCCGTGCACGCCACGCAAGGAAGCATCAGCTGTGAGTAACGAGGTGCGACCTGAGAATTTCTTGCGACCGACGGCAAGGTACCGGCCAAGGCGCATCGCTGACCACCTGATTGTCCCATTCTATCCAACCGCAAGGCCCATCAGACGGCTGGGCCCAGCAACTCACCGCCACCCATTCCTCCGGCCGTGCGCCCTTGCGAGCGTGGCCGAGGGGCAGGTCGGAGGTCAAAGTGAGCCGCAACGCGCGGGGAGTTGGGGTGGTAGCCGAAGGAGGAGGAGGAGGAGCTGCCGCGTCCCGGCGATCCTGCTGCCCTGTCGGCGGTGAAAAGAAGAAAAGAAAAGAAAAGCGATCCCGACAGCGCGCGAATGTGGCCGCGCCACGGGCTCCGGAAGCCGCTGCCACCATCCCCGCCCCATCGACTTGGCGTGCATGCGGTGAAGGCGTGCATCATTTCAGCGCGGTCAACCAGGCCAAGGGCCAGTGCGCGGGACGAAGAGCGGGGCTGACGCCCTCCAGTCGGAAGCGCACCGCAGGTGAGCGGCTATCTGAGCGGGAAAGCCAGTCGTCTCCATCACTATCGAATGATGGCAGCCCAAAGATGATTGGAACCACCAGAGACGCCCAAGAAGGCGGCAACAACGGTTGTTGCTGCTCGCTGCTTGCGAGCTGCGGAGCAGGCACCCGGATCGAGCGTGGATGGCGGGGCCGGGGAAGCGGTCGACGGGCTCAAAGGGAGGCGAATGCGAAAGCCGAGCGACTCACTCCGGCGGCAAGCTGGCTGGATCTCCTTCAGGAGATCGGCTCATGGGGCGATGCTTACCGATGGAGAGATATTCCAACACCTCCTGACGACCGTTCTTCGCTTTCCCTGACCCTGAACTTGCCCTTCACCCAGCGCACAGCACCACCGAAGAACCTCTCAGGAGGGCCTTACGAGGTGGATCGGTGGTGCACGATGATAGGCTCACAGCCAATCACTCTCGGTCGATGGTTCCCTCGGCACCATGGAAGAGCAGTGTGGACTGGGGCAACGTCGGCGCGTTGGGCAGCGTGCTGGCACGGCTGTCTGTAACTGATGGTGACTTCCCTGCGCCAAGGGCTGGGTCTTTGTGGGCCCAAGCCAGCAAAAGGGCCCGTAGTGCATTCCTGCTGCCGCTTCGGAATGGAGTCGTCCAACTTCGGCAATACAGGCGTCCCAAACCTCGGGAGCCGACTTATGCAGGGCTGCGGGTGGATTGTCAACACGGACTTGGTGCACTCAATGATATGACAGCTGCAATGAGGTCACCGCTGGTATACATGTGTTGCTTTGTCCGTCGGCGGGCTTGTTGGATTCATTTGGGCTCCCGAAGTGACGGCGGTGATTGGTCGTGAACAACGCGAGGCTGGGCTTCCGGCAGGCGTGCAACATTCCGTTCTGATGCTCACCAACTATACACCATGTTCCTCATGCCATAAGCGTGTGGCAGGCGTGTGGTTTGCGCGTGGCACTGCGCGTACACGCAACGAATGTGAAATGCGGCCGGAGCGGATGGGAAATGGGCTGGGGGCGTTTTAGCTACCCATGAGCGGTTATCTCTTTTGGATCAGCGCGCCATGTTTCAGTAAGGAAGATTATGCTTAGGAACCACCGAGAAGTTACAAGACGGCAGGTTCCACGTTGTTGGCCTGGCGACATGAGTTGCATCCTAGTTGCGTGATCATGTAAGTGCGCAGAGACAATTTCGACGGAATGTTGTTGGATTTACCCACTGTAGCAGTTTAATTTAGGTGTAACCACCGCAGGACCATCAGCTGGGCCGTCCATAAAAAGTGACACAACATGACAGGCATGGCTTGCCGCGAAGCTTGGTCCAACTTTTTATAGGTCATGAGCAACGCGGGCGGGCAGCGCTCCTGGGATTCTCTGTAACGTGTACAGACTGTGCATTACTTCGGCTCTCAATAAGGGTTGGGTGAACTGTACTTTCTTTGAAATGACGTGCTTTCTCCAACCCTAAACATAGCAACGGCAGTGGCCATGGCCGTCAGATTCGGCCCCAAGCTGGGATTTAAACTAAGAAACAGCGACATGATCTCCAAGCCCGGATCAAACTTTCCTAGGAACGACCCCGTTCCGTTTACTGCACTGTAATGCTCCACCTTCTTGACCCCTCCAAAACGGCCATAATTGATAAAGTGGACATCGGTTATGCAGGATAGTGCACTGCAGCGTGGCGCTCTTCTCAGGGCGAGGAAGTCATGTGGGGCAGGGTGAAGGGGTTGCTGCCTCCTGCCTCGACGGCGCCCTCCAAGAGCGCGGATGTGGCACTTCCATGTATCCTCTACATCGAACGAAGATCAGCGAGGCTCAGCAATGATCGATCATCTCTGGAGGACGTACACATCATCCATTCCTTACCTTGGCAGCCTTGCCATCCGTGGATGACTCACATGACCATCGAGGTGCATACGCTGGCGGGAACGGCCGACAGAAGTGGACGCTCCCTGCTTTTGCTGAAGTGCAGAAACTACTGAAACTGCGCCATGGGAGGAAAGCTGTTCAGATGGTTGGAGACAATCGCAGGTCATTTATAAACACTAAGAGCAGAGCAGGAATCGCCGCCAGGACGCCACCGTCGTGCCTACTGCAGTCCCCACCCAGTACAAAACAGAAAATCACCGCCCAGAAATCACCTTCGCACCTATTGCAGGCCCCGACACTCGAGCAAAAACAAGGAAGACGCCGCCCAGAAAGCGCAAAAGTCCTATACGCTTCATATCCAGACATAAAGTTCGCGAAGGCCATTTCGGGTTTAAGAAGGTCATTTTCGGTGTTAGTGTGGCGTCGAGCCTCGAACCACCGCAGAAATGGCGTCCAAATGGCGAATCTTTTGGCAATGAACCGGTCGCGCACGAACATAGACGCTCGCCCGTCCGAGCTGAGCTCTCGGCAGCGAAGTGCACCCGCAATGGGCGTCTGTCAGCCTGGCATATTCACTATTCAGCAGGGCACAACCCCCAAAAGACACACAAGGAAAAGCGAGGTGGGTCCAAGTTTCGCGTGTTCGTTACAACGTACCTTCGCCCTGCCCGTGCCTTAACATACAGAATGTCCCGGGCTATGTACTACCTCCTGATACCCTGGGTTACCAACCCTTCCTAAGCCACCGGGTGCATTACAAAGCCCCCAAAGTATGAGTATCGCCCACTAAAGTACTGACTTGAGTTACCCAGCCATACTATATGTATCGCCAACATCAGTTAGAGCCATGCCGCTCATAACGCTACCACACCCGTCATTCACGCCATGGTACCGCCCGCTGGGTCCCCGTGCTGGGGCACAGCACGTGGTGCGGCACCCGCAACAGGTAATCATCTCAAAGTATTGGGACATGCATGGGTGCGGCACCCACAGTACTTTGGCCACCTAAGCACGTCGGAGTCGACTTCGGCCACACCCACGGAAGGTCCAACAGGTCCGCCCATCGCCTGAGGTGCCTTTGACGCTGTGGCACGTCCTCCTTGTCATCAGTCACATCTCCAACGGTTCGGCACGTCCTTTATGCATCCGCCAGTGGTCGTATGGGGTGGCACGTCATCAGCGCCTCCAGCACGTTCTCACAAAGACACTCGGCAGCAGTAATACTTGCAGCTCGTTCATATGAAGACATCACGTCATCTAGACCATCATTCCGTCTCCTCACGGGCAGGGTACATCTCACAATCGGCACAGTCAACCATCAAGCAGCCCCACGTCTGTAAACCACCACGTTCAAGTTATTATGTATCATTAACGACAGAGTGCGCGGTTCCGGCGGGGTTCTTAGAAAATCGCCACATTAGCGCGTGGCAGGGTCGTAATGATATTTCCCGATCTCTGGGGGCACCAGCCTTTTGCGGACTTCGCTGTCGGGTCAGCACAATCTCCCAATCTCTGGGAGCCCGCCCTTGCTGCCTTCGAGACTGGGTCTGCATAGCAAGAGGGCCCCTCTGCAAGCCGCGGCGCGGGAGCGGGCGTGGGGCCCGCGTGGTCTTGAATTCGTCGTGCTCGTGGCGCAGGGCAGGTGGCCAATACGATGCTACATTCTCCGGGCATACGGGCGACCCCCTTTCGTGGGGGACTGTCTGCAGTTGCACGCTGGCGCGCCGGGTGTTGGGAATGTTGGCCATTATCTTGAACGGGGCACGTTTATTTTCTTGGACCTATCAGGTCGATACTCCCTCAGGAGAGGCATTATGCCAGATTGAGCGACGAGAATTAGACGGTACTGTTCTTGTCCCTAACGTCGTTACAGTACTGAGAACAATGAAGGCACAATCACCCAGCTTATTTATCGGGAACTGGAGGTGGAGTTGTTTGTAACTCGGTTGGCGCCGGACCTGCTGGACTTGAGGTTTCAAGCTCCGATTGTCTCCGCGCTCCAGTCACAATGTGGCTGTGAGTAAGTCCCGAACACCCGCCTTGATTCACCGGGAAATGATGGGCACGACGGAACCACCTTCGCACCCACTGCACCCGCCGACATCACAAAGCAAGGGTCCACGCAGAGCACTTTCGTACCGTTTGCAGCCCTCGGCTTCGCTGGCGGCCGCGCTGACCTTCGCCACCGGCCCGTTGACCACCTGTTGCCGCTGGCACACCGATCATGAGCGACCTCGTGGGCATCGACGGCGTGCCCTCTGCCGGAGATCGATTTGCAAGGGCCCTTGCCCTGGCCGCCATTGCCGCCGGGCTGTCCTGGATGGTCCTAGGTGGGCCGATCCGGACATATGTGTCGATCCTCGCAAAGCTCTGGCGCTAGTCCGGTACACAAGGGGCCCTTGTGTCCCCTGCGCACCTGGATGTCCCGATTCTCAATCCATTTTCGCGATCGGATGCCTCCCAGTGGGCGAAGGGACCCAAGTGGGGGTTTGCTCGCAGCAGATGGGAAGATGGAGGTCTCGCTTGCCACTAGCACCCTGACGGAACTCTTTTGATGCAGGGACTTGCGCAAGAGCACATGGGCTTTCGGAGGTGTGTGTCTTGGGATGTTTCGTGCTCGGGGAGGGTGTTTACACGGCGGCGGGAGCTCGCTTGAAGTGATGGTGCCAGGGACGGCAATGTGGCCCGTGGCAGCTACTGCGGATGCTTTGCTGAGGATGCACAGCTGCAGGCAAAGCTGTGTATCAGCGTATCGTTTGTAGCTTCTCCTGCGAAGGAACCGGTGGCTCGTTGGTGTTTGGATGAAATGGCGAACCGCAGGTGGTTGTCCCTGCAGTGGTTGTGGGAACAATGTGGCTCAGCGGCCCAGTGCTTCTTCAGCGTTGGCGCCACAGAGATCTATCTCTTTGTTTGGCAAATTTGTGCCTCCTTTGCAATTTGAATTGACAGTCCTTGTCTTGCAACTGTTACAGCCACTTGATGGAGTCCGTAAAATGTGGGTCAAGCACAGCAGCAAATTCCATTGCGGGCAGTCTCTAAGATGCAGAAAGTGGCTATGCTGCGTGGCTATGTGGTGGATGCACATAATGATTGCAATTATCATCTGTGCCTGAAGCCGCTGTTTGCTTGCAGGACTCGTTTGTTGCCCCAGAAGGCAGACTGCCATATATGTGCAACATAAAACGCCCAGGATCACAAGAGCACGTGTGTTCAGGATTTCTGATCACTTCACACCATGTGCTGACTGCAGCACACTGTGTGGACCCTGATTCTGTTTACAGTGCTGGAAAGAGACCTCTTGTTCAGATTGGGGCTCTAGATGTCACAAGGAAAAATGAACGACTGGAGGTGGGTGCCCACCGGCATGTCAGTTCTTGGTGATGTGCACATCGTCACCTTGTGCATCGCTACACAGGAGAGCATTGATAGTGTGAAGACTGGTTTGCAACAATCAGGTGGTGCTTGCAGGACAGATTGGATTGCCTCTGCCATTGAACAAAGCTTGGGGTATTCGAAATGGCTACAGATTGCCAGTGTTTTCATGCAAGAGATCCAAGTTTATGAGCTTGATGTTGTCAAACCTACAGGAGAGAAACCCTTCCTATTCTCTGTGAGTCCATCGTGACACAGACAGCTGCTGTACTCCACGGAATACTGGCTGCAGAGGGGAACTAGGCAGTGCCCTATGAATCAAAGCAGTGCCCATAGATACAATTTGCCCTTGATACAGTTGGCACTTGCTATTTATTGTAATTTGTACTGTGTTTCTCCAATGCCTTGCTCATGCAGTACATTACAGTCTGAGTCCAAATTGCATTAATTTCCCTGTCTGAATTGTTGAACTGGCAGGGATTGCAGGATTGAATTGTCTAGGAACAATACTGCATTTGAAGCAAGAGCATGGGGCGACATACATTGCACTTGAGCAAGAATACATGCACAAATGAATGCGCAAATTTTTGAAAATATTTTATCACGTGCATTATGCCTGCTAAATGTATAACTGGTCCTCACTTGCGAGTCAGTGAAGTTCATCTTGAAGAAACAGCCACATCGAATTTCTCCACTGTGCTTTCACTTGCCCTTCTGCCCCAGTGCACAACATACATTGCGACAGATGGAGCTTGCTTTCCAATCAGATGTATGCCGAATACATATAGAATCTAAATATATCGAATCATCTGTTAATATCAGAATGGCATGCCTATGCATTCAAGGTTTCAATCACGCGTTCTTATGTTTAGGTTTTCGCATTTGGCATTTATGTTTTCATGCACAAAAACATAAGAGCACAGAGAAGGGGCTATTTTTTTAGCTATATTTACGTGTTTCACGACTCATTGGTAGACCCGGCTTACATGACGAAGTCGTGTACAATGATCTGTCCGCTGCCCCATCGAGCACCCGCAATGCAGCGTTTACCTCGCCCTCGGCAAAGGCAACGACGTTCTCCAGCACAGCTCGTTTCTGCCCTCCAGTGCATCTGGATGCCATTCCTGCACTCCCGAAGCCTGTGTGTATTGTCTCTACGTACACGCGGCTGTATTTGTTTCTGCATTTACGTATCTTGCTACTGTTTTCCCGTACAATGTAAAATCTAGTCTTATTTTTGCGCACAAAAATGCAAAACACGGTCTGTTTTATGGCTTAAATACCAGCCTTGGTTTGAGCGGCATTGACGCAGAAGGAGAAATGAAATTTCGTGGATTTCTCATCAAAAAGTATCAAGATCGTGAGCATTCTTGACGTTACCGCCCATATGACGCATTGCGTTCGAAGCATTCATTGAAGTTTTGTAGTTTGATTTCCATCTTGATATAATGTGGCAAACAGTGCTGGCACGTTGGCCAGCAAAAAAAGCACCAAATAACGCTTTTGCGAACACCCATAAAACACATTTCATCAAAGTTCTGCACGATTAGAACACAAAAATAACACAAACCCGTAAACTTTGCCCACGTTTGAACTCGTGTAATTTGTCACTTTTTTCCTAGTGGTTTCGGAATATTACCCGCACGCGCTGGTCGGTGCCCCCGCTGCGAGCCTTGAAGACAAATTCCGCAATGGCTGCTCTATCGCTTGAAAACATGAGTGTGCCACATTGCCAGGGGTGTGGCACATTGACGTCACTGCTTGAGAAACGTGTTACGGGGGTTATAGCTCTGCACAGCATGTGTATACCACTAGCCAATCTGGAGCACCTGAATAAATGCAGGTCATGTCGCAGTACTTTGCACCCGCATGGCTTTTCCAAAGACCAAATCTCGCACGCTGGCGCCCCCCCACACCACCCACCCACCCACTCACACCGGCCCCTTGACCAGGTCGCTTTGGGACTGTCGGTGCACGGCGCAGATTGGATATTTGCCGCTGCCGTTGTGGAGGCAGGTCGGAGACCTTCCTCTCCAAGCGCAGAGGCCGCGGAACCGAGATCCTTACAGCTCGATTGTTGAGGGCCTTTTCAGCCTTTCAATTTCGGATTGGAAACTTGGAAATTGGCGAACTTCACAATCAGGGCGTTTTTTCACAAGGGGCCACAGCCTTGGTCAGGGTGGCTGCAAGTGTTCACGCCTCCACAGAAATTGTGGGAGAATACGATTGTCGACTCGCTTCACAGCAGCAAAACGTCGCTGGGCGCGGCCGACCCAGGCATCCGCCACAAGGATCGTTTCGTTTGTGGCTCACGCCGCTTTGATAGATGCTACTGCAGCAGATGCTTGACGTCGCCCTTGAGGAACGCAATAGCGCCACCATACACCACTTGGGTTCTCCGATGGAGCACCCACACCCCCCATCAGTCGTGTTTGGTGGGATTAATGCAGTCTTGTGAGGAAGCGTTCCTCGCACCAGCCAGGACATTGATTGGATATCCGCAACGAAAGGAAACCTTTTGGCGCACTCACTGTTCCATGGCTAGCCTGCAGACGCCAAAAAAACTGCCGGCCGCGTCATCTCCCAGATATGTCGTTGCGCCGCCGCGGACGATGGCGGGGATTTCCGCAAAACAACGATGGCGAGATCCCCAAGCATCCACAATATCCCACGGCCGCCCAGCTCGATGTGCTCATCGTTGCGTTAGAGCCTGAGCGAGGCTAGCCGCTCTGCCCTTCCAGTGCCCTGATCAGGACTTCATGGAGTCCACCAAAAGGGGTAGCACGTGCCTGTCGGGCCATCCCGGACAGGAAACCTATTATTTTTGCGGGCAGGGGGCGCCCTGGTAGCGTCCAAATTCTGGACTGGAGTGGAGCAGGTTCAATGCATTGCCAAATGCGCTGTGCTTGCCCGTTGCTTCTGAAATTTCTGGCAGCAACTAATGCATGTGTATTAGGTGCTGTGCTACATTTCAAGATAAAAAATATTCGACATGGACGCAGCCCTCCAACGAATTGCTTAACTTAACTGATGACAGAGGGAGTAAAGGATTTCAGGCAGCGCTGTCCTGGTGCATACCAGATTCTGACGGAATCTGATCAATTTGTACGATTGTACGAACCACATCAGTCATCGTGATTCATTGTTGAGAAAATGTGAACATTATTGTAACCACGCCAGCTTCATTTAGGAAGATGAAACACCATGGCTAAGCACTGTGTCGTTGCAACAAGTCGTGGCAGCCAGCAGCATTTGGGTAATTACGCAAATAAACACATAAGTTCATTGGACCTGCCATAGTTTTTTTATTGCTGAAAAATAGCAAATTATTATTGCTTTTCACTAGCGCTATTCGTACTGTGTTTATCATCAGTTAATCTGACGTGCGTAGAGAAAAATATTTAAATAAGAATCATAACATTTTAAGAAAAAATAAATACAATACAATTCATACAAAAGTACTACAGAAATTGCTGAATGGAAGTTAATCAAAAGTATGTTGGGGTTTTAGCTGTAAGCATCAATGCAGGATGCAAACGAAAGGTAGTGTCTGAAAGCCTATTGCCCTGGTTGGTCACAAACAAAATTGTATCATTATCTATTTGCAAACGTTCACATCTTAAATTTGGGGAGTCAACAACGGTTTTCTGCACAGATGTTTGTGGCAGAATGGTCACGTATACATCCAAGGTGGCTACCCCACAAGAACCAAAGCTCAGGCTTCAACATTGCCATCCTAAAACTTCCCAAACCGTCCAACCAGTCCGTACCCAAGTTGCTTTTCGACCACTTTAAACTAAGAACGGGACAAAACTTGGCGGGTTTGGGATGGGGACCCTCTGGCAATGGGCCTACACTTGGCGGACATATTTTTTCTACTTTGAAGATTGAGTTCCAAGAGTTTGTCGACATCTTTGACTGCTCTCGCTCAACGCTCTGGGGGGAAAGGATTGAGGGGAACACGGTGTGTGGGCTCAACGCTAGGAGGGAGGCGTCGTGCATAGGTGTGTATATCATCACGTTCGTTTGTATTTGATCAAAATAAGCATGTTGCCTAACTTCAATGAGCATTTCAATGTCTTTCATTGGCTGGAACCCGCTATGAAGATGGTCTCTGTTTTCCTATTCAGAAGGCACCAGAATCAGGTATCAGAATATATGCAGCGTCAAGATTTCTATATGGGAAATATTGTAAAGCCTAGATGCATAGGGTGAAAAGGACGACTGCATGTTCCTTTCCATTTCATAATATCCTCATATGAGTATGTTGAACATAGTAGTATTTGAAAATTAAAAGTAGATTAACGAAACAATTTGTTTTTATAAAGTTTAAAAAAGAATTAAATGTACAGGTGCTTATAAATCTATATTTTTATATATTTGCACAGACTAATTGGAGTATGGAAGTATGCTGCATGTCATAACAAATGGCAATTGCAATAATGGGAGATTTAGTGCTTGGTAACAATATGCAAGTTGGGCATCCTCATTACCGAACATGCTCAACCCCCGTCAGCATCAATGCTGATCAACATTACAACCACTTGATATGAATACGTCACAAAATTTTGTTTTAATAGCCTGGATTCTAGAAACATTCAAAAAGTGTCACAAACATCTCAAATACAATGCAAGCTGAAAGTCGTCATTTCCAACAGAAAATAGGCCAAAAGCTTGAAAGCGTTGATATCTATTGCGTATCTTGGCTGCCACCAATATAGGCTTGCCTTCACAAACATTCGCATTTTGTTGAACTGATTACAATTTATAGGACAATCGAAGCACAAAAAATTGTTTGAAGCTTCTCATTGCTCGCTCTCCATATTTTTGTGCTTTAGTCGACTCAGGAAGCCCGCTGCTATTGTTGTACAGCCCAAGGCTTTCTAATTTAAGGTACAATTGAAGTACAAAACAATGAATTCAAGCTTCTCATTGCTCACACCCCATATTTCTGTGTTGTTAGTCGATTCGGGAAGCCCATTGGTATTGTTGGACAGCCCAAGGTACGACATTGAGCAGGGCAACCCAGAGTTGGACTTCGTGGCAGGACTCAACATTGATGGAGGCGCGTGCGGTGCTGCGCACAAACCTGATATCTATGTAGATATCCGCGAGCACAGGCACTGGATTCATGAAAACATCAGACCACCAGGGGCGATGCACAATGAGCTATAGCAACCCGCATGCATCAGGTAAGTCAGTACGACCAGTACTTTTTAGTTCAATACTCGACAGGATTGTAGACGTTAGTGT